ATAAGAAATCCGACCCAGACTGGGATTACGCAACCTGCGACGGCCCGTCGTGCCTGCGACGGTCCGTCCTGCAGGTCGTCGTAAGATTCAGAGACTCAATTCCCACCAAAGAGTCTGTGACAGTTCGTCACACATGTGACGGTCCGTCCTGTCATTTCGTTACGAAGTTTAGAGAGTCGATTTTCAGTACCCAATTTCAGATTTTCTAAGTATTTTGAAATGAGACCCTGCGACGGTCCGTCGTGCCCATGACGGTCCGTCGTGGGGTACGTCGCCTCAGCCTGTTTTTTTAGAAATAAAATTTGCTGTTCAAAACGACTAAACAGGTCGTTACAACTAATTTGCTTAGAAAAAAGAATAAAAATAAAATAATAATAGTTAATATTTTCTGCATCATAATTATCCTCTTTGCATCTAAAATATGCTATTAAGTAATTATTTCATTGTAATAAATTTTCTTCCTAAAAATATATTTTTAACATTAATAATCAATCTGTAAATCTATCAGTGTTCTAAACAACAATTTTCTGCAAACAAACTAGTCACTTACTTAGAATAATTTTCTACATTATATGCAATCTATTATTCTTAAAATAAATTTTTGCCTAAATAAATAATAAATTTGTTGTCCTATGTTATATTTTTACATTGATAGTTAATATTTCTGGTATTTTAAAGTATATATATGTGGATCATATCCTTTGCTACTTGAAAATGAAATAAAATCTATTATGTCACTAATCATTGCTCATTTTAAAATTATTTCAACATTAAAATCTACACTCATGTCATATTTTGCCTTCGTAATTAATCTTTGTTTTATTATCATAACATTGTTGCTCACACACGTAGCATGAGAGCTCTCATAATTATGTGTTATTTGCAAGTATGTCTAATTAAAATTTAGAGGCCAATTGAAACCTACCATGCTAAAATGACCGTCTTGTTTGTCTTGTTTGTTTGACTTTGTGTCTAGGAGGGCCTTATATTCTATTTTGTCTAAACCCGCCCTTTAAGAGTCCAATGCCTCCTTGACAATCAAGTTGGGACGATTAGGCACCGTTCAGGTATGAAATGCATGTTGTGGTCGGGTAGGGGTAGTTGGCCCTATGGAGATGATAACATCGACTCAGGTTTGAAAGAGGAACTTTGGTTTTGTCTTTCCCTATATGCCAGCCTATCGAAAAAATAAAAAGAAAGAGTCGCGTGTTGATCCAAAAAGTCTCTTAGAGCCTGCCTTCCCTTTTATCCCGTTACTTGTTTGTTTTAAATTATATTTATTTGGGGTAGATCAAACAAAATAATAAAATTGTTTGCGTACTTATTTGTCCATCTACTATCCTCTTACTTTTCTCTTATTTAATTGCTTAGTATAAATATTTTATTTATTTAGACTAGCGTGCTTAAATATTTAATTAAAATAATAATGAGCTATTTGATTCAACTTGTTATTATATCACCTAGTCTTACATGTTAGATTTAATAAAAATGATTTTAATAGTTAATATATGTTATCACCTAGCCTTTATTAATTAATTAGTCAAAATAATAAAATGGTCTAATTTGTTTTGTATTTCTTATCACCTAGCGAGCATGCTAATTAATTAACTAATAAATGAAATGACCTTAACTGCTACTTGTAACCCCCACATAAATGCATGAGATACGGCTGGGACCCACGTTTGTGGACCTCGAGGGATGCCTAACACCCTCCGCTTGAGGTAATTTGAACCCTAACCAGTTTATCTGGTTCGTTGACCTTAGCTAGACTTAGTTAGGTTAGATAGGTGCCCTAACGCGCCTTAATTCGTTAGGTGGTGACTCCTCAAATTCAAAATCCCAAAAGAGTTGTTAGGTCGTGCACAAAACCCATTTTGATGAAAAACGGGGCGTGACAGTCCCTCCTAATAATCATCCATCACTTCTTCAAAAGATTGTTCACTCCCACAACCATTTGCGTATTTGGGAAGTTGGGGGTGGCCTTGATTGCAAACAAATAACAAACATGTTTTAAACTCCATTTTGACAAAAATTAGGCTTGATTTAACTATCATGGTCACATTAACACATAAATATGCAATTTGTCTAAAGGGTGTTGGTGTCGTTTAGACGATAGGGTGGCTTATAATTATGTGGATTGACACCAATAGTCAAACCACCTAGGGTTTATACAACATGTATGACCTAATCAAGATTTCTAAGAATTGGCTTGACACAGACTTGAAAGGGATTCTATGGGATAAGACACATGGTTCCACAGTAGCAAAATTAGCTACGTTAGTCATGCCTAAGTCATCTCTCTAATAAGGGTGTTTGAAGAGAATTGGAGTATTGTGAGATTTGGGAAATCACACACCATCACGAGAACAAAAATAAAAAAGGAAGATGGTTCCAATTGGGGGGAAGTATGAGCAAAATGTCAGTTATCAAAATAATAACATTTAATACTTAGGTGGAAGCAGTAACACATAGAAAATTTTAAGGAAAACAGTATATAAATAGATAAAAAAGCATGCAAACATAAATAAATTAACCAAATAAGGAAAGGAATTTAAACATGGAAATACTTCAAATAAGGGAAAGGAAAAGGGTGAAACATGGTAATAAACAAATAAGGAAGAGGAAAGGGGTGGAACATGGAAAATCGATGATAAATAAGGAAACAAAATAATCTAAACATGACAATCACCTAAAACAATAACGAGATAGACAAATAAAGTAAACCCCACATAAATAAAATGAAACATGTAATGGTAGGAACCTAATATTTTCCAGTAGTGTTGTCATTCTATCGTGCCTCTTTTTTTCAAAAATGGATTTTGGTGCACGACCCAACAACACTTTTGAGATTTGGGGGTCTAAAGAGTCGCCACCTAAAGAATTAAGGCGTGCTAGAACACCTATCTAACCTAATTAATCTAACTGAGGTCAACGATCCAGAGATCAAGGTAAGTGTTCAAATTATCTCGAGGGAAAGGTATTAGGCATCCCTCCAGGTCCACAAGTGTTGATCTCGACCATATCTCATCCAATTTATGTGGGGGTTACAAGTAGCATTTAAGGTCACTTCGTTTATATTATTTTTTTAACTATCATGCCAAAATAGGTGATAATAATAAATTAATATTAAACAATTAAGATCATATTATTACTTTGATTAGTTAGTTGAGCCTGTGATACTAGGTGATATAGTAAATAACAAATGAAACAAATACTAAGAAATTAATAAAGGGATAAGCGAGACAGAAATTGTACAACCATATCGGCAAACAATTTTATTTTATTTAAGCTACCTGAATTTTATTATTAAAGAATTAAGGTTACTTCAATTATTTATTATTTAAGCATGCGAACTATGTGATAAATTAATATTAAACAGATATTAAGATATTAATAAAGAGATAAACAAGCAGACAGATATGCACAAATAGATGTAGAAGATAGTTCGATTTTATTTATTATGCTACCCCAAACAAGCGTAAAATGTGTGATAAATAAAGCTTAAAAATTTGAGCATGTTTGAGTAGAAAAATTTTTATTTAAAAAAATAGTTTGTTTCTTTATATGGATGATGTCACGATATTGTTAATCGTGCTCCTCCACCATAAAAAAAATTGATTTATGGTCGATCTTAAAAAATTAGTAATAGCTCAAATTTTGAAGACGATTAAAAAAGTAGTTTACACATAAATATGTAAATATTTACATATAAATACACATAATCTCTTTGAAAATCTTGGGTAGGTGGTACTCCTGGGACGCGTCGGCTTAATTTAGAAATTGAAATAAGACCTTGTAATTCCTTTTACTTTCCCACTAATGATAGGTTAAGATATAGTACTTATAAATATTTTTAAAAAATGTCATAATCCACCCAAATTTGAAAGAAAGATTGAACAATAACTTTGACACAACAAAATAATCATGTCATAAGACATTATATATATATATAAAGGCAGAACATTAATGTAGCCAATAACTGACAAATGCAGAGATTTATGACTACAAAAATATATATTTAAAAAGTCTAGTAATTTGTTAAAGGCAGCAAATTATTATTTTCATTTTATACTATTTTAAAGGGCAGTAGCATACTGTATTATTGGTGCATAAATTACTTTAGAATAGTAACAAATTGATTATTAATGCAGAAAATTAATTTAGGTGGCGAAACATTACCATGCAGAGACATTTTAATTTAATACAATCTTTTAGTCAGAAATGATTACCACTCTAATTTTGTTTATTAAACATCATAGAAATCACTAAAAAAACAAAAAGGATCATGCGTGAGGTTGATTTTTACTCAGTTATAAACATGCTGAAATTTGATTTTAATTATTTAGTCCTATAAGCGTACTTTCTAAGTGTAAACATGTTGAAATTATTATCAGACATAGAAGCATGGTATTTATCTAATAGCAAAGTTTAAACTTATATACATGATTGTAAACCCAAAACATATTGAAAGTTATTTAGATGTTATAGGCATGCTTTGTAACTTTATAAGTTGCGATAAAATAATGAACAAGTAGTATGTAATCCCCACCCCCCTTTCCCTTTAGACGATCCCCAAATATATATATATATATATATATATATTAGTACCAACCAACACTTAAATAAAATTCAAACATTGAAATAAATTAAATAAAAGCTTTGTCCAAGCATTCTTTCTCACGGTGACTCTTCAAGCTCCCGTGCTTATTACGAACCCAGATGCTTTCCTTTATTTATCACAAGCGTAGCTTGTTGATATTGATTGATGTAGTTATGACAAGCGAAACATAATAGTCAATTGAATCCAAATTTACAACATTAATTACGAAGTGCAAGCTATAATTTAAATATCAATTTCCGATAATTTTGACAAAGTCTATAAACAACTGGTTGATCCTAATTACAACCAAGCAAAGAAGGGAAAACAAATCGATCAATTAATTCCATAAGTAAAATAATCAACAATACTCAAATTAAACATAAATGAAAACAAACTATTAGCAATAAACATTTTTTAATTTCAATAAACTATTTAGGATCAATTGAGGGAAACAAATATTAGAAATTAACAAATCCATGATTATGGCGGAGCAAAAAAAAAACTCAATGACCGCGTTAAACAATCGACAGCAAATATTAGCACAAAGGCAAAGGGAAAAATTCACCAGATCACTATTAAGTTTGATTAGAGAATTTAAACCTAGATATGTTTTCTAAACATCACATTTTACAAGACAAATTAATATATCATGACATACTATAGGATGTTCGAATTCTCAAACTCATTAAGAAAAAGGAGTTAGAATAGCCAGAAAATTAATTAAAACTTACCTGGACGGATCTGTCAAGATCCTTCTTACCAAGCTCAGAAGCTTCGAAGTATTTGCTGGAATTTGAAGTTCGTCCTTGCTGGAAAAGAAAAAAGGGGCACCGGAGATGGAGAAGATTTTTGCGTAGCTGCTGCATGGAGTTGTTGACCAGGAATTTTTAACCAAACTAAGTCAGTATATAAAACAATTTACCAAAGTTATACATTTTTCTAAAATTTTACAAAATTAGTATAATCGTATTTCACAGTAACGTTTTAGGGTATATTTTGATTTTTAAAAACTAACAGCATTAGGTTGATATAAGTTACTGCAAGTAACATTTTACTTTTAAAACGTTATTTTCACTAATGTTTTACTCCTAAAACGTTATTGTGAGTAACGTTTTAGGAGTAAAATGTTACTGTGAGTAACGCATATCAATCTGACGCCACCAACTTTAAAAAAATAAAATATATCCTAAAACATTATTGTGGAATACGTTTATACTAGTTTTGTAAAATTTTAGAAAAACATTATTTTGGTGAATGGTTTTATATAATGGCTTAGTTTGGTTAAAACCTCGTTGACCAGAGCTCTCGCCGGAGCAGAATCTGTTTTGCTTCTCGCTGGAGTCGAAGCTGCACGTTTTGTTGTTTCTCGAAAAATGGAGAACGGAGGGAGCAACATTGGCTGCTAGCACTCAGCATTATCGCCGGAGCACTCTGCTTGTTGGGGCTACTTCCTGGTGGTTGCTTTTGTCGGCGACTGCTTCCTTCGCTAGTGGTCTCACCTGGCGCTGTTGTTGGTCCCACAAAGAGAGGGGAAAAAAGAAGAGGAAGGTGGAGAAAGGTATGAGAGGCGGAGGGAGATAACATGGGCGTCGTCGGTTGGAGCTTCTGCTCGCAAATGGCCTAGCCTGGTTGTTGTTGAATCGAGACGAGAGATACGGGGGGAGAGAAGGGGGAAGAGAGAGCGGTGTCGTGCCTCTTGGTGGTAGCATTTTCACCGGAGCACAGGGGGAAGAGAGAGCGGTGTCGTGCCTCTTGGTGGTAGAGTTTTCACCGGAGCACAGAGAGAGGGGAGGGCCGACCGCTGCTATGATATTGAAGAAGGAGAGAGGAGTTGCGGCTCTACATGGATAGAGGAAGAGAAAGAATAAAGATTATAATTAAGGTTAGGATTTCTTTTGTTAAAATAGGCAAGAATATGAGATTTAATCCCAAAAGATGGATTAGTATTTGATATGGGGTTGAGATTTAGGAGTCGTTTGGTACAAAAATGAATAATGCAGGGATTACTAATGCAGGGATTAGCAATACATGGATTAGTAATGCAGAGATTATTTTTATCAAGTGTTTGATTCATTGTTTCTCATCTAATTTTGTGTGTGGTTTAAAAGTTTTAAAAAAAAACTTTTCAATTATATCCTAGAGTTATTATAATTGAGTCAAAGTAAATAATTAACGGAGAATATTATTTCTTATAACATTTTTAACTAGTTAGGAGAATTAAATTTTTATTGTCATGTTCACTATTTTCTCACTTAAATTATTTGAGAGTAAATAATTGTCATCTTAATAAATTAGAGTTAATAACTCAAAAGGTTACACAACTATAATGATTATAGAGAAAATTTATTGAACTTTGTTTTGTATCAATAAATTTTAAAAAACTCTTTATCATAAAATAAAATAAAAATATAAAATAAATATAGAAAAATAAATTAAACTATTTTCATACTCGAGATGTGTGTGTGTGTGTATATATATACTCACACTCTTGTTTTAGACTACTTGTGTAATGTTTAATGAACTTTCATTAAGAGACAATATTACTTATGAATTGTTCTTAAATTCATTTATCAACATTAACATATTAGTCGGATTATAATATTTTATATTAATAATAAATAGATTAAGTAATTCATATTTTAGAGACAAAAAATTCTATCTAAATAATAAAATTTGTAAGCTAATTTATTTAAATAACTTTATTAGTATAAATATAAAATATAAAATATAAAATATAAAATCAAAAAAATAATAAAATATTAAAAGGATTTGAGGGGTATTTTTGTCTTTACCTAGAATAGTCTCATGGTATTAGAGCTAATACCTCCAAATGAAAGGTATTAGTAATACATCACATAATACCATGTAGGATGTATTAACTAATCCATGGATTAGTTATACATAGGCTCACATTCCTACCAAACACAGTATTAAATTATACTACATCTAATACATGGATTATTTCTTTTAATACACCCTACCAAACGCCCCCTTAATGGAGAAAGATAAACGGTTCACATTAAAGGGTGAGGTCCTTTGAGATCTGAAAAATTGAGATAAGAAAGGATTAAAATTACAACTGACTATATGGCTATATTTGAAATGACAATTAAATTGGAATGGCTAAAGTTGAAATGAATTAGAATAGAGTGGACTAAGATTTAAATGATTTTGAGAAAATTAAGGAATTGCAATCCAATTAAAATACTAAATATATTATTATGTTTTTATATAATTAAAATAACTTAAACTTTAAAATATTTGAATGAAATAATTATTTAGAAATTTATTAAGAATTTTAAAACATATTAATAATATTTTCAATAAATTTTATAAAGTATGCATACTAAAATATATAATTTTTGGACAAAATCGACTAAAACCTTATAATTAGAAATATATTTTAAAATATGTATTTAATAGAATAATATTCCTAGAAATGGTTAAATGTCGGTAAAAATTGGGTGTCAACAGTCAAGCTACTCATGTTGTAACATTGTATTTGCATCTGTCACTATAGATATGCTAAATATAATTGGAGCAAAATTCAACATCTTTCAGAGATCTAATATATGTGCACTACAATTATTCATAATTAAATATAATATCAATGCACTTGAACCTATTCCTTCAACTTGTCCCAAAAGATATATTCATGCACTCAATATTACTTAATATCTTCTTAAGAAGCCTATTTACAGCCTTATCCCAGTGTGATGGTCTATGGTTGTGATGACTTCGATAGACGACACCTCTACTTTGGTACCTTATAAAATATAGATTGTGGTGTAGAAAGTAGATTGTGCTGGTTCTTAGGGAGGATTTGTATTGTGCGTGTCTAAAATTACTTAGAAAGTTTTGGAGATGTACCTTGTGAGGAGGAATATTTTGGGGAACCTAAAATTTAACAAAGTTCAGTTGTTAAGGCCCAACTTGGGTGCATCTAGTGAGGGGTATCGATGGGAGACCCATCTGTCGAACCTAATTCTTTTATTGGAAATAATATAAACTAGATTTAGAATTGATGTCAACAATTATTATAGTTGGTGTTGCACCTGATAGTACCACGTCCAGGGAATAGATTGAGAGAACATGTTCATCTACAAATGATATTCAAGAAAATTTGTTCCTCTTACTAATTTTATTGAAATTAAAGATGAGTGAACTATTGTTTCTCTAGAGGGCACATGATTGATTGAAAAAGCTCCTTAAAGATGATATAAACAAATTGAGCTGCATATATTAAGGCTACCTTTGAAATTGAGAAGGTTGCTAATTTTGTTAATCCAAAAGATATTTTTGCTACCGAAAAATGACTTTTACCCTCTCATGCCCGATCTTTTGATATTACCTAGCCACACTAGCCTTTGACTTCCCAATTTTTTTCATCACAAGAGCTTGATTCTATCTTTAATTTTGATTAAATTTGTGATGTATATGTTTTATTTAATGTTAATGTTGGGTTTGAGTTTCAAGTTCATTCTATCTCCTATGTTTGTGAAAATGCTTTGCTATAGCTAACTGAGTTCTTGATTTTTTAAGTGTGTGTGTATGTGATAGCCCCAATTGTCCTTGAGTATCGAATTTTTTTTCTCTTAATGTAATGTATGTCTTCACATTGTTTTGTGATGTCTAAAGGGGAAAGTGCATACTTGTGTAATATTTATAACTTAATTGGTCTAACTTGATCCTCTAATGTATTTGCTTTGTGTATTGACTTTTAGAAACTCAAATAACACAGATTAATCTATTCACATGAGAAGAGATGGATTGTCATCATCAACAAAGGGAAATTTGTTAGAACGAGAAAGATTTTGTTAATTGACAAATAGAGGAATAGATGAATGAAATAGATTGCACAACGTGTGCCTTTCAGACCGAATCCGACTTGGATAAGGAGAACGTCAACCACGCGAATTAGAAATTATAAAGGTTGTGGAAGTATTATTTTTTCGACAAGCAACCAGTACAGAAAGTTTCCTTTTTATAAAGGATTTTGCTGGCAAGATAGTTTTCTTAATCAAATAGGAAAACTAGAAAAACTAGGAAGCCAAAGTAAATAAGGAAATAAAGGGCGTAAATAAAGAGTTCAAGAAGGAAATAAATCAAAGTGAAGTCAAGAAAGAAAACTAAAGACAAGTTTGAGTTGAACTATGAGTTCCACAAGAAGTAAGAATCCTACGAGTGAGCTTCTAAGTTTAAGAGAAAAAGGAAGCAGAACACAAGTAGGATTTCTAGTTGAAATAGGTTTTAGATTCAAGTCCAAACCGATAAATAGGGTGATAGTTTCGCTTGAGAAAATTGCACACTTACATAGAGAGAAGATCAAAACAAGAACAAGAGTTTGAGAAAGTTTTGAGATTTATTGGGGAGTGTTGCCAGTTTGTGAAGAAAAAGTTGTATGATTGTAACTAAAAGTTTTGATTACAATCAAGTGTTTGTAGGATTCGTCTAACAAGTTTGAGAAACTTGACGGACAGTAGAAGACTTAAAGCTGGGTTTTCTTTTGTCTCGGGTAGCTAGGAATTAGAGTTTATAATTCCTTTAGTTACATAGGTTTGTAACCCGTTGTTGAGGGTCAAAGTTTAATGAAGAGGTTAAATTCTACAGAGGTGTAGGTCATGGTTTTTTCCTTTTATGAGTTGGGGTTTTTCGCGATAAAATAGTGTTTATTATTTTATTTGCTTTACAAAACGTAACTATTGTAATCTGTAAAAGAAAATATAGAATGTACTTGTTTCTTAGGAAAATTTAGGGTCAGAATTTCAACACTAATCTATACAAAATTTATATGCAAATTCATACACTCATCTCAACTTGATGGAGAAGTTTTGAGATTGAATTGAAAAAATCACACTTCAATCCAGTGATTATTCTTCTTAACTTTTTCAATTAGAACCCTAAAATTTCAACTTGAGATTCAAATTATTGTCAATGATGTTTTTTCCATCCAAATGTTATTAAATACTCTAACGGCCGATGTTGGATGACTCATCCAATCTTGTTCATTTATGATGATTGGGTTAACAATGGTGAAAATTGAATTTAGGTGAATGAAATTGTGACTTGAGGACTAACAATGATAAAAAGTGAACTTAGGTGAAAGAAATTGTGACTTGAGGGGCAGACAGGGAACTCAAACTTTCACATATAGCCACTTAAAATAATTAATTACTCTCTATAGCTATAGTTTGATAATTACAATTTCTAACTACATGTTATTTGAAGGAGAGAGGCGAGAGAGGGGGAAAAGAGTGGGAGAAAGGTGAATTGTATATGTATATTGGTTAGATAATTGTATATTATACATATGTAATTGTATATATGGCAAGAGAGATTGGGAGAGTGAGGAGAGAGGCGAGTGATACTAGGAGAGAGATGAGAGAGGCAAGAGAGATCGAGAGAGGCGAGCGAGAGAGGGAAGACAGTGGGAGAGAGGTGAATTGTATATGTATATAATTGTATGTAACTGTATATTGTACATATACATTTGTATGAATGGCAAGCGAGATTGGGAGAGGGAGGAGAGAGGCGAGCGAGAGAGGGAAGAGAGTAGGAGAGAGGTGAATTGTGTATATATAAGCTAAAAAATTGTATATTATACATATTTATTTGTATATCCTGGTGAATTATACATATATAAACATGACTAATTATACAAAGTCGAAGTCAGCCTACGTAATTAATGTATAATGTTAGTCGCGAGTGGTAATTATAGCAAACTATAGCTATGATGAGTAATTATATAGTATAAATTTGCTTATCCGCATAATTTTCCCAATTAAAATGAGAAGTCGTGTGTTAAATAAATTCATGAAATAGAATTGAAAATATCCATAATTCCACATGAAAATTGATTAAGAGTAGAAAAATTGAAGAGGTGATTTAAAAACGATTTTAAAAAGAGAGAGAGAGAGAGAGAGAAAATGAAAATTGTTCCCCTTTGAGAATTGAATGA